ATATATATATATATAAAATGCTTACTTTGCCAGTTATACACACTTGATGAGTGTAGTTAAGAATGTATAATAACCTATAAATGTAGTTCATTTCATTTCCTTTGTCCAAATCAAATACAAACATCACAAAACCTAGCAATATACTGGCGGATTGTCAAAAAGCAAAACAATTCAGTATGCAAAAACTAGTGTATCTAACTAGTACTAGGAAACAGGGTTCAGTTAACATAAGAAGCAAACAATGCAGAGAAAAATGCACAGTCACCAAAAAGAAATAAATCACTAATATTATCCGCGGGAATAAGATAAAAACATAGTTAAAATAAGCATTTTGTATGGGCTTCTGCATGCCTGGTCTTTGGATTGGAAGGCAAGCAACTCTACCACCAGTCCACAGCTTGACTTAATTTTTTTGATTTATCCATATTGTTACAGTACATTAATGAGATGTATTTATATCGTCGATACTAAACAACATTCCACAACATTCCACATAGCTGTACAGGAGCTATCATTTTACACACACTAATTATGAAGTCGCCTATTAATCCCTGCAGTGGAAACATCTATATTTGTCTTAGGGAGCCTGACATACATTATTCTGATTTATTTCTAATTACTGTAAAATGATACAGTAACTATGAATTGAAGCAAATGTAATGTAAACAGTTAAATTAATTGTTGTTCTTGCTGCAAGATTTCATCTTGTTAACAGTACTTCGGTACAGTGGGAGTGGTGGTTAAGATGCTTGCCTTCTAAATTCAGGGTCTTGGGTTCAGTTCCTGTAACAGCAGGACTTTTTCTCACGACCCCACTCCCTAAGCCTCATAAAAAGACTTCGCTGATAAAAGCATCAGATTATTTCATTTATTTAAGAGGGTCCCTGAATATCAGCCAACATTCTAGGATACGCTGAAAGGGTCATCCTCTATAAATATGGTTTAAAAAATGACGATTATTTGGTCAATATAGTACACATATTTTAATTAATGATAATTTAATATTGTTAATTAAAAAGCATTTTTTTTGTTTTATAAATTGGGTTTTTGTGTAAAAATTTGTTCATTTCATTTTCAACCAACAGTGTGTCTCTCTCCATGTTAATTTTTTTTAAAGATTTTGTTAAAAACTTTAATTTTCAAGAAATAATATATATTCTCATTGTAAAATATAAGTAAATACCATGTATGCCAGATATTGAAGCTGATAGTTTAGCTTAACACTGACATTTATAGTATTATTTGTATAGTATGTCACATGACTGAAATATGAGTGGCTCTATTGTTATTGTGTTTGTTTCTTAAGAGGTTCTAAAGCTACTTTGAGTCATGTGACCTCCACTGGATTAAAGGACCACCTTTATGGTATATTTTCCTTGTTTTTTTTATGGAATTAGTCCACTAACAAAGCTTTCGTAGGTACCACTCAAGGTTCAAATACAAAATACGAAGAGCTTTATTGCACTCACTCATTAAAATTACAGTATAAGTCAAATTTTAAGTTTAACAAAAGAGGAGAAAAACATTTAAAAAGTAGAATAAATCTACTATTAGTCAATTTAATTAGTAAAAATTAAGTTATGAATTCAACTACAAAAATAAATAATTAAAAAAAATTAATTAAATTAATTAAATATTAATTTAGAATTTATATGATTATTTATTTAAAAAATATCAAAATCTCTTCCTATCTGGGAAAAAATAAAAAACTGTGGCTTATGCCTGTTTTATTATAGAGTTTTGCAATTTGTGAGTCATTAGATGAGAATTATATAAACGCCCACATCAATTTGGAAAGTTATTTGCATTCTATTGATAAACAAACATAACTTCCCAAACAGAATTGCATTTTTTGATGAATAGAGTAAGCTTCAAAAGACTTTAGAAGATTTCTTTTTTTTTCAATAAATTTAATCCGTAAAAATATCTTTCAACAAAATATATTTATTATTTTCTTGGAATTCTTCCAAATTATCATGGTTGTCAATCCAGAGAAGGTTGTCAGGTATTGTAATTTGTGACGACTACTCAAACGTCAAAGTAATCAGAGCATGCACACAGCAGTACAGCTTTTCAAAATGGAACAATTAGATTCACACAAATGTTATGACCACATAATTTTCATTGGTGAGAAAATGAGTAATAAAGTGAACATAGGATGATTTGGTATTATTATTATTATTAGCTCTATATATTTTACTCTTCTTTTAAGTTTGTATTTCATTTTGTGTTTCTTCACCCAGATGGGAAGAGAGAGTGTCCACTTCAGGGAGAGTGTATTTTGTAAACCATTTCTCTCGATCTACACAGTGGGAAAGACCAACAAGGTTAGAATACTTGCTTAAACTTTCACACACTTCTTCCCACTGTAGAACCCACATCAATTTTATTTGATTTTATTCATCTTATTATTTTTTACCAAGTACAGGATAAGAATCCAGCTTATTCCAGCTATACTCACATTCTTACACTGCCTGAATTGTTATATTGATCTCTGAACTCCAATGCTCTTATTCCTAATCTGACCTCTGAACTCCTATGCACTCATTCCTAAACTGATGTCTGAACTCCTATGCTTTTATTCATTGCCTGACGTTTGAAACCCTATAATCTCATTCCTATACCAACTCCTGAACACCTATAATCTCATTTCTATACCAACTACTGAACTTCTATAGTATATCATTCTGACCTTTGAAACCATGTTTTCTTCTCCTAGTAAACTGCATCACTATTGTTTTTTGTAATGTTATTTCTACACGCTTAATCTCCATTCATACCTAGCTCTGCCATTTATCCTACCATAGATATAAGGTAGCTTTGTGACATCCTAATAGAACCTTTGTAGAATATACTGCACCCTTTCTCCTTTTTGCTGTTCTTGTTGTATTGGTGATTTAGCATCTACTTTAGATAACGCAACCATTCCAGTGTGGTAGCCTAATTTTAAACTACTTATTATCAGTCAACATGATTGTAGATATCTTATAAACCCACTGTTGAATCATAAGTTATCATCGTCTGTTACTATGGCAACCAAAAAAGTCTTCTCAACTTGGATTTTTTTTAATAAGTTCCATGGTATCTATCTACAGTAGTATTCATTTATTTCTTTCAACCTTTAAATTGTCTTAAATATATTTCCGTTTGCTTTTATTGAATTTACCATTTCAATGAATAATATGTTACACCCTACTCACACAAGACAAAATGTTAAATTTCAATGAATAATATGTTACACCCTATTCACACAAGACAAAATGTTAAGCTTGGTCCACACTGTCAAATTTTATGCTCATGAAATTTGATAGTGTGAACAAAGCCTTACAGATACCTGTGATGTCTGTATTGTATTGATATTATGCTGGATGTCTACATAGATGAGCATTCACACAGACACAATTAGTATAGCAGAGGATGCATGCTAATTTTTTCCTAGCAGTGATGTGATGGGTTTAACTTTTCGTTCTTGCGTGAATTTGGTGCTGTGTATTCGTGTTTGTGGCGCTAGCCTTCCAAACTTAAAGTTCTAGGTTCAGTCAGGGTTTGTCTGACTTGCAAAACAACTGCCCATCCTAAAGGCGAATCTTTTTTTATACCTTGTTTAGTACACCCTTTCGACCACCAAAAATGGTAATTTTGAATAAAAATAAGATTTTATTTTTGGCCAGTTAGCGCACCCTCCACCATGAAAAATGGAAATTTCACAAAAAAAATCCCCGTCTCCCAAAAAATCAGATATATTTCTTTCCTAATTATATAAATTTATAGCTATCAATCGCATTACTACACTGTTTAACCCATTAATATACAGTAACATTTTATTTTTATTTTTTTCCTCCGGCTAGATTTTTTTGGTAAAATCATTTTGCTAAATGAGAAAACTATTTTATTTTTATTTTTTTCCCTGCCCTTCTCTGACAATTCTTCAAAATAATAAGTTCGTGAAACAAGGTATAAAAAAAGTCTTGTCAAATCATCATAAAGTTCAGCATACCCACTCTCTTTATATATTTGAATTTGTTGTTGGATCATGCTCTTTAGGAATTGTGTACATGTTTAGGTATCGGTAATGTAAATTGTGTGCTTTCTGGTGTGTGCGCTTCAGTAATGTAGTGTTTGTGACTGCTTGTAGCATGCTTGAAGCACTGTCCAGACTATCAAATTTTATTTGACAAAAACATGTGACATGCCTAAATATGGTCATGATGACATCACATCATGACTATATAGAGGCACATCATGACTATATAGGCATACACCATTTTTTTAATGCTTGTAGCATGCTTAACCCACTGCTCCTTTCACCATTATTTGATGCTATCAACCTTTAGTGCTCTTCACAAATGCTTAATTCAATAAAATGTGTCTTTTTCTAAACTGATGACTGACAAAAAACATTTTTGTATGGAATTATATGAGTACAACTTTATGTATATAGTTATAGAATAATTTGAACACCCTTTGAACACATTTATTAATTTTCCATCAACTGGATTGTAATGAATTGCTACCATTTAATCACATTTGGAAGATCTACAAATGAATAATTCACGTAATTTCTATTTCAACCTTTAGACCAGCTATAGAGTCTGCGGGTAGTAGTAGTAGCTCGAACCATTACCACAACTCATCCAGGCCTGCACACCATGCACAAAGACCACGACGCAGTGAAGAAAGCAGCTCACATTCTTCAGTCAGGAGGCAGTCTTCACGATTCAGAAATTACCAAAATAGATCAACACTTCACCAGACGTTGGACCTACCTGAAGGCTATGGTTAGTTTAATGGTTCATAATCTAGCCTGTACTCTGCAACACATAAATACATGACAAATAGCATTCTGTGTGTTGTTTAATAACTTATTACATAAGTACTGTAAATTAGACTGTCCTCTGTACTGTAGGCCTAAGTATATAGGCTTACGGTGCTATTTTTGCCAATATATTGTTCCATTCACATGCCTACTTTTCTACTTAAATCAAATATTTATGTTAAATCAAAGGTCGGGTCAAGGTCAGGTTTACGTATTTTTTCATTTGTGAAGTTAATAGGGAGCTTTTTGATTTGTGCGCCGACGCAACGCTAGAACGGAATCACTCATGCGTGACTGTCCTACCTGGCGTCCTACATTCTCTGCATACGTAGATTTGGCCAAATTGCGTTCCAGAATCTACTAGTCGAAGTGACCTTAACGTTCTTGCATGCGCAGATGACTTTTAGTGACGTCATTGCGTTCTACGTCCTACCGTCGTCGTGCAATCGAAAGCTCCCTAATATGAATTCTAGAAGGAAGCCTGTAGGTTTTAAAATATGCAAATTTTATGCAAATTATCCTGCACTTTTTTTTTTGCACTAATATGTAACTCAGAAATATTGATGTTTTTGATTTATTTAGAGCAAAGAACAACAGCACAAGGGCAGGTATATTTTCTAGACACTACAACAGGACTGAGCACATGGCACGATCCACGACTGCCACGTGACTTAGCAATACGAGAGGAAGAGCTTGGAACATTACCACACGGCTGGGAGGCCCGTCGGACTCCGAGCAGTCGTGTGTACTTTGTAGACCACAATAACCGTACAACACAATTTACCGATCCCAGACTAAATGCAGAGATCATTAACCGAGCTCTGACTGAGAGAAAACGTGGTGAAAGCAACTCCCCACAGGCGCCAAGGTACCAGCGTGATCTCGTACAAAAACTGAAAAGTCTCCATGCAGAACTTCAACAGCTACAGCCACAGGCTGGACATTGTAGACTAGAGGTGTCAAGGGAAAATATTTTTGAGGTATGTTAAGTTTATATTTCATTTGTTCTCTGTGAAATGGAATAAAGTAAAATGGTACATTATGCTTTCTCAAGTAAAACATAATATAAATCATCAAAGGTACATATACAGTGTTTAAATAAGGACATAATGGAACATCGTAGGCTACCCTGTAGCTTTTCAACGAATAAAGTCCTATAAAAGTCATTGTGTAATAAAATGCCTCAAACGGGATTCGAACCTGCGACCTCTCGCTGACAAGGCGAGCGTCATAACCACTAGACCACGAAGGCTTCATGGTTGAACAGGTCCAAATAACTGTCGGGAACATTGTATTACACAATGCTATGCCTCAAGAGGGCGTTCGGCCAGATAAATCTGGCAATACGTCTAGAAATACTGTCGTATATTATATATGATATTGAAAGGAGTTAGCCGTTAACACTGTTGAATAAATATAATATAAATCATCAAAGGTACATATACAGTGTTTAAATAAGTACATGCCCTTATTTAAACACTGTATATGTACCTTTGATGAATTATATTATATTTATTCAACAGTGTTAACAGCTAACTCCCTTCAATATCAAGCAAAACAGTATAAAGAACATGAAGACAAGACAACAGGTGAACACTAAAACAGTAATGAACAGTCAGTTGATAGCGACTGTTAAATCACTACAATCATTTTTCCAGTTCCCAGTTCAACAGTCTATCACCAAAACTGTTAGTTTAATGAACTACTGTGGGGTGTCTATAGACACTTCATATTTATTATTTTTTGTTTTATGTTTGTACAGGAACCTTGCTTGTCCTTGGCTTTGCCCTCCTGAGGAAATAGATATATTCTTATTATTATTTCCTTAATGTATAAACTTCTCTCTCAAACGAACATGGATATTTGATAGTGTGTAATCTTCACAGTGGTTTGAAAATGGATCTTTTTATTATATTATGTTCAAATTTATTGAGTTTCTTGAAATATACTGAATCAATCCAATGTTGACCTCTGTGGCTAAGATAGTTTATAGGATATAAAATTTGATTTTATTTTGTCTTTGTCTCTGCTTAACTAATATCCATTAAAATTTAATATTTGGATTCCTTTGAACTTTAATTGATAAATGCAAAGCAAGTAAATTATTGTATAACTCGCAGTTATTGTAGCCGCTGGGCCGCCTGTTGCAGTCCCAAGTTGATGTCAGATTAAAAAATAAACGATAAAATGAAATTCGAGACGACACCAAAGAGAACACCTAGCCTAGCATTATTGATTGAAGATGTTAAATCAATAAAGGATGGTGCCATTGTCGTCAACTGTTAAGTACTGTCTGTATTTAGCCCATTAATCCCAGACTATTATCACTCTGCTCTTTTTTTAATAAGAATTATTAGTAGCCAGATTGCAATGACTGTTGCATTTACTCGAGCGAAAAACTCATACTGCCACAAGCCGAAACAACCTTGATTACGCTAGCTTGGTCTATCGCCGTAACTACGCAGCCATTATGTTTTGTCGAGTATTTACCCAGTTTTCTATTTGTCTGGTTGTCTTCGTTACGTAGGCAAGGCGTCGTTTAACAAAGAACAACCAGTCAACTACAGCCATTGTGTGTTTTTTTTTCTGAATTATTGCTTCAGGATGCATACAATATGATTTCGTCATGTAATTCTGGATTTAAATATTTTACTTATCCGTTAATCCCTTGATTGTTTTAGTATGTGGCAATTTTTTCTTTTTAGTTAAAAAAAAACAAGAACAACGCATTAACATCAAAATGATAATTTGTGTAGGGTTTTAAGATATAATAAATATTTGTCCTTTCTGTCAAATTAAGATTGTATACCTAAAGGTTTACTGATTAATCTCATAAGATAGTATAATATATACTCTAAGTATCGAAATCCCTTGATTGTTTTAGCATGTGGCAATTTTTTATATTCAGTACCTGTACCTGCCTCACAAGTTCAAGACAACTAAAATATCTCCTATAAGAACACTATATTCACTATGTTCTTTTGTTGACAGAAATTACACAGAACAGTAGTCATATTTACAAAGGTTACATATTACACAAACAACATACATCACACAAAATTCAAATAAGTCTGATTAATTATAATCCAATTGATTTTCTTAAAAGGAAAGTTTCTTTAGCAAAGGTTGATACATAATAAAATAATATAATCAGTAAAACAGGATTTAATTTTTTTTTGTCCTCTGAAAAATGAAGACATGTTTCCATCAACACAACCATAAAAATTAAAGTTTTGTATTTATGTTAAGTCATTTTTCTAAAATGCTAAATGAAGACTGAATGAAATTATGTTTGTTTAATACAGCAGACAGAAGTGGTTTTGTTATTGTAGTGTTTATGCTGGTTTATGTGCAGACATAATAATATTAGAATTCATATGCACAATAAAGACTACTTTATGCTGTATGGTGATTAGATATTGACGCCTTGTGTAACAAAGAGCTTAAAGTAATAAGAAATGTTGTCCGGCCTCACCCATGGCATATTTTCAACCGGTAGACAATAGGGAATACTTAATGAAGTCTTGATTGCATCCATAAACTTTGGATGACCTATGGATAATACTGATGATATTAAATTTGATGTACTTAGTCATTAATCCATTAGTTTACTTGATAATACTGTTATTACGCCAATGAAAACTATATGTTTGGAGACAGTCTGGAATTGATGTACTTTTAGACTAAAATGAGCCATTGAATGTTAATGTTGATGGTAGCATTCATAGGATTCGGGCAAGGCTTATTTTGAACGTTCTATCTTGTCCATTACCGTATATGATTAGTTATTTCTTTTTTTGGTATTTAACTATTCTAAATATAGCATTTACTATGCTTTTTTTAATTACCTTTCTTCTATTTTTTTAAAAACATATGAAGCCATAAACGACCTTACAGCTCCACAGTAGGGACCACAGTGGAAATTGTGGGTACATTGGGAATAAGTTGCTTTTTGTACTTTTCTATGTTTTTATCCTTGAATATTTTTTCAGAATAAAAATAACTTTCAGAATAAATAATAATAAATAATATAAATATATTTGTTGTTGCTAGGAATCCTATAGACAGATAATGAAATTGAAGCCAAAAGATTTAAGAAAACGATTAATGATAAAATTCAAGTCGGAGGAAGGTCTTGACTATGGTGGGATCGCACGAGAATGGCTGTACCTGCTGTCCCATGAAATGCTTAACCCATACTATGGACTGTTCCAGTATTCAAGGGACGACATATACACCCTCCAAGTGAACCCTGATTCTGGGGTCAATCCAGTAAGACCAATATTTAATGTTACTTTATTTAGTATTAATTGCATGCAATGTTGTCACAAATGTTGTTAAAAGCATATTAATTTTTAGAATTAAGCCAAAGTTTTTTTCACATTGTGACTTTTCCATGGATAACAATAATTTTTCGAAAATAAAAAATCTTTAAAGAGGTCAATGGAAATGGTTTAATAAAAATAAAATGAAGATTTTAGTTGCCTAATATCTATATCACACTGTAGCATATGCGGATTCAAGGGTAGCCCTTCTAAACATTAACAATTTTTTTTAACATATAGGGAAAAAAAATTTACTCAAGTATGAGGGTGCCATTTCTGGCAATCTGGATGTGCCATAGCCATACAATTTCATGCCTTAACTCCAACCATGGTGGGGCTGAGGTGATGTAGACCCTCCATCTTCTGTAAAAGTATTTCCCTGGGCCCCAAGTATTTGGAAATTCTGGATCCGCCAATGCAGACCATGACACACCACACAACAGGTTGCTTTAAAATTTGTTGTCTGGCAGTGTGCATGAGTGTCCAGTATTACTTGCAGGCACGGATCCACTAGGAGTGCACCCCTTTTTGCCACTAAATTTTAAAATATGTTGTGCGTCCCCGCCCCTCCCCCTGTTTGGTGGGGGGGGGGAGATCCGCCCACCCCCGACTTGCCATATCTGCAACGCTTACAACGAATGCTCTGAAGAATGACAATATTTTTTTTATTAACACAAATATTGATTTTTTTTTTTTAGGACCACTTGTCGTATTTTCACTTTGTTGGCCGTGTGATTGGTATGGCGGTGTTTCATGGCCACTACATAGACGGTGGATTCACCATGCCATTCTACAAGCAACTACTTGGTAAACCGGTATCTTTAGACGACATGGAAGCCGTAGATCCTGACCTATATAGAAGTTTATGCTGGATGTTGTAAGTTTATTTATTAAATTTCAACACATAGTAACAACCATACTGAGGGGGAACACTATCATCTCTGGCTTTATGCGCTGTATATGTAAATGCAAACTTATTAATAACATTTTTGTATGCTTTATTCATTTGATTATTTTCATGAAACTCAAGAATTTGTTAATCACCTTTGTTTTGCTATTTGAATAAATAGCATTCTGTAGAATCCAACACTAGTTTATTTATTCACCACTATCCAGCATTACTTTTATTATAACTTATTTTTCAGTCTCATTGTTTCTCTGCATTTGATATTTTTCTTAGTATTATTTGTAAATAAATTACTGATATGCATAATTGCACTTTTTATATTTCATAGAGAGAATGACATCACTGATATAATTCAAAATAACTTCGCTGTTGACCATGACTGCTTTGGACAACTGACGACCTCTGAACTCAAACCGAATGGCAAGAACATACCTGTTACCATGGAGAACAAGAAGGAATATGTGAGGTATGTTTTTCCAGTAGAATCTTTAATCATTTTGTAAATGTCAGTGTGTTTTTGTGAAACATGGGCAATGAAACCCCCCCCCCCCCCCCACTTGATTACGATTGATTACAGGCCTTACATAAATACGGTAAGTATGTGAAAGCTAATACATTTACTAAATGTTTGCATTCCAATGAGCACTTTCTAAAGTGGATATGTGCGCAATATAAATCATATATTATTATTAAATTAATGATAAGCTGATACTTTGTCTTTCACATTTCGCACAATAACTCTTCTCCCTTTCCCTCAAGGTTGTATGTGCAATGGCGATTTCTCAGAGGAATTGAACCGCAGTTCCTGGCATTGCATAAAGGGTTCAACGAACTTATACCACAGCATCTACTGCGCCCTTTTGATGAGCGGGAATTAGAGGTAAAGTAGTGAACAAAAAAAGATACCTTTATTATCCGAAAGGAAATTACATTTGGATATTACATCTCATGAAAAGTTATAAAAGGTCAAACATATAAATATAAAAGAAGTGATAGATATAAATTCCAACATAAAGTCTATAGTACAAAATATACAAAAAAATTACATAAAGATAATGCATAATTAGCATGGAAAATTTGTTGTAAATCTAAAAACTGATTGAGGACATATACAATTATATCTTTACACAATATATCCTCTACAACAACAAAAGAATCACAACTATTATAATGGCAAGATGTACTAATGCTTATGATAATTTAATGTATGTATTTAACAGAATTTGAGAAAACAGGATTATGATAGAGTACAAAGAATTATGAAGCATGTAAAAAAAATAATATGTAAAGATCAAAACCTAAGGGAAATATGCAATACTAGAATAATCGCAAAGACCAACTCCATCATGAAAGACACATATCCCCCACTACAATATGTCTGGGAAAAGATTAAAATCTGCAACTGTAGAAGAAGTCAGTTCCTTAACTCCTTTGTTCAAGTAGAATCTTTAATGGCTGGTTGGCTTAAACGCACTTTATACTTTATAATAATCCATTTCAATTGGCAAGTTTGACAATAGTTATTACTAATTGATTGACAGTTAATAAGTTTTACTAATTGATTGACAGTTAATAATCAATGGACTTGGAAAGATAGATGTGGAGGATTGGAAGACCAACACAAGGCTAAAACATTGCACAGTGGATTCGAACATAGTGAAGTGGTTTTGGAGAGCAGTGTACTCATTTGATGAAGAGAAGCGTGCCAGGCTGCTTCAGTTTGTCACGGGGACGTCTAAAGTACCACTACAGGGTTTCAAGGCTTTGCAGGGTTAGCGTCACTAATTTCTTCTTTTATTTCGTTTCCATTTATTTAGTGATTCAACAACTTCACAACAAAATAACCAAGAATAATACAATAAAGCTCAGAAGTGCTTATTTCCATTGTGGTTCTTAACGGCACAATGGCAATTAACAAAAAAACACAAGGAATATAAATAACGACATAAATAAATATACATTTGTAAGAATAGACATATATGTCTCTCTCTTGTTCATCTTACTGGTTCCATAAATACATTTTAATAACCCTTTTAAATGAGAATTTTGAGTTAACTTGTTTTATATTCATTTGCAGATCATTTCAATGCTTCTTCAGTTTAATTCAAATTAAAATTTGTATGTGTTGTAACATGATTAAACATAAATAATTCTTGATAAATCAGGTACAAAATAAAAATGTATTTATGTTTATTAACTGGCTCTGTAGGTTACAAAATATAAATATAAATTAATATAGTTATTCTTATATAATTTTTTGGTTATTTACATTATTATTTATATTAATGATATTTCTAATAGCTATCCTTATTTTGAGGATAATGATGGTAGGGGTAGGAGAATAATTTATAACTTGCAGCGTCATTGTGCTGAATTGCGTATGGGTGTTGTCTATTACCACCTAGCGGCCATAAAAAGGTGCTTATAATAGCTACATGAAACATCATTCCACAAAAACAGTGGCTGAAATGAGCTATCGCATTGGGGTACCCCCTACTCTTTCCAAAAGATGCAATGGGTTGTTCACACGATTATCATTATTGTTGTTTAGGTGTAATTTTGCCCTACCTGACGTGGAAATGTACCGAATACTCAGTACATTTGAAAACAACTGCGAAAAAAATCGCAAGTTGTTCTCGGGTGGGACTCGAACCCACGATCTTCAGATCACTAGCCTGGCATCATACCTCATTATTGTTGTTGCTGTTGTCATTGTTATCATTATTATTTTACTGATTATTGATATTAAAGAGTATATATGAGTTGGTATTATAAGGTAAATTTTATGTATTGTAGGATCTACTGGTGCTGCAGGGCCAAGGCTGTTTACCATTCACTTGGTACAAGACACTAACACAGACAATCTCCCAAAGGCACACACGTGGTAAGTCACTACCTTCATTCAGCTGTCTATACCTACTGTCGGCAACCTTTTACCCCCTAGCACCCAAAATAAATTGCCATAGCTTCTCATGACCCATGGCCTCCAGTTACTCCACTCCTTAGAATTGTTTCCACAAATGCCAGAATATAGGATACAGCTGATAATAATAATATATTGAATACTGTGTAGTGTTTGTAAGAACATTTCGCTGTGGCATTTAGAACCTTGCAGTTCGATTACGATTGGACTTTTGATAAAATCTGGTTCTTCCATATTCTATCTAACAAATCATCAACAGTTATTGGATTAAGTTTTTTTCATAATATTATTTTCTATTTTCTGTTTCTGTAGTTTCAATCGAATCGATTTTCCACCTTACGAATCTTATGAGAAATTTTTTGACAAGTTGACCTGTGCTGTAGAGGAGACCTGTGGTTTCACGGTTGAGTGAACAGAGACTTGTGGTTTCACGGTTGAGTGAACAGAAACTTGTGGTTTCACGGTTGACTGGATAGACATGGTATCAGAATGTCACAATACATGTCAGGATGACATGTCATGGTCACATGATCATTTTCTGACATAGTGGTACCTATGTGACCAAATGTGGATTTTAATGCATACTGCAATGTGACTACAGTGGTGTCAGCACTGCAGCCTTGTGAACGTGCGGCTGACAGTATAAGAACTTATAAGGGCAACAAACATATACGAACACGATATTTTATACAATACATCTGCTCTACCGACTATCAAAATATGACGATTTAATATTTTATTTTTGATGTTTACTATTATTGCATATAACTCTTCAGAATTTAACGATTTTACTGTAACATTATTATTTGTATAAAGATCATGCACAAATGTAAATTTATTTAACTATTAATTCAAGAAGTGATCAGTGATGCCATTAAGAAAGCAATCCTTGTGAAGGATATAAATATTAAAGTATTTACAAATTGTTTTTATATCTTTTATAAATCAGTTGCCATCACTACAGGTTGTCCACATTCATTAATTTGCTCAATTGACCTATAATTCATGTGGATGTGTTGGACAGTGGGTTAAACCAGAAGGGGTCAGGGGTCACGTATATCAGAAAGTCACAAATTTGTCATCAGTGATCTTTCATAATTTATATGAGTGTACACAACTTTTGCTGGTGAATTATTTTATATTTCATGACAAAGAATTATAAGAATTTGTTATCTGAAAATGACAGTTTAGTTGGGTTGCATGTGGCTTGGCCACATGTACATGTGATTCAGTTACTTAGACATTTGACTCAGCACCTGTACATGTGGCTCTGCACCTGTACGGATGTGAAGCTTACTTACCTGATAAGATGAATGTTAGTGATTACCAGAAGATATTGATTTGTTATTGTAGATTTAAGAATATTTGTCATTTACAAACAAAGCTAATTGTATTTACTTATGTGTTATTGATACTTGTGTCTCTTATATGTTAATGACATTTGTGTCTCTATCTTATGTTACTGGCATTTTTGTCTCTTATTAATGTGTTAATATTTCTGTAGAAAAATGTTATGTATATTTACAAAAAAATAGAGGTGAATTTGTATATGGTGTGTTAAATGAGAGGAACCTAGGCATAATGGATATTTTCATTTAATAAAGCTAAGTACTGTATTACAATAGTAGAGAAATTATGTTTCTTGCAACGAGGACTAGTTGATAACCTGATTTATAATCAAGACCCCTAATCTTGCTGGCTTGAGTGTCTTGGTTACCTGCTTTGCTGGTTTACATATCTTGCTGACTTAACCACTAGGAAGCCTTCAATTGCATGACATGGGCGTAGAACTTAATGACGTCACTAAGAAGCTATCTGCGCATGCAGGTATGTTAAGTCCTCATCGTGTGGATTCTAGGATGCAATTTGACCAGATCTACATTGTACAGAGAACGTAGGACGGTCACGCATGAGTGAATTCATTCTAGCGTTGTCGTCGTGCAAATTAAAAGCTCCTTGTTGCAGCATGTGGCATGCTCATAGTCTGAAATCTAAATCTTGTTTTGGTTTGAAATCTATAAATAGTGTAATAATATATAGGGTTTGCTTTTAGTGTAACAAACAAAAATCATACATATATATGCCTAATATTTGAGAAAAGTACATCAGTCTTGGCACTCTTAATGGACATAATCAAGATAAAATTTCAATATTCATAAAGAATATGCGAGAAAAAAGAATTTGTATACTAGACGAAGGTACATTTTTATTTAACGTTTGAAATTGTTATCATTTTTACTATTGTTGTTATTTATGTTTTCTATATCTTGCTTCATTTATTAGCATTTTATAAGATTATCTCAGTAGGTGACTGGATCATGGACGATAACATTGTGTGAGTGAGTAAGTGTATTAAAAATCCTGGAGGGAAACGGATGATGGAGGTTGATTAGAGTGCTAGATAGAGTGATAGTGTTTAAGGTGATGTCAAGGATTTGGATGTAATAACTAAAAATGCATTATTTTGTTTTTATACCAATGACAATTGGTTTGCAAATGCACAGTGATGAATTTAAGCTAATCAAGTTTTAGGAATTATCTACAAACAATCCCACAATTCCATAGAATGGCATTATCTTATATATACCTGTCTCTTATACACATCTAGATGTGTATAAGAGACAGGAGTCATAAGTTAGCTATGAAAGAAGGCATGATCCGGATAAGATGAAGATCTTGTGATATGCAACGGAGTGAACTCCATTTACTTACTAAAAATTCTTTCTATTTATTTAGGCACACATGTGCCAAGGATTGTCAATAGCGAATATATCACTGTCCTAATTGTAGGTGACAATCCCTTACACAAGACAAACATACACACACGATGCTTTACACACACTAAATCTCAATATGAGATTTAGGGAGTGGAGTTGTTTTGGTCGTGAGAATAAATCCTGCAACACTGACTGGAATTGAACCAAGGACGCTGGGATTGGAAGGCAAGCATCTTAACCACCAAGCTTTTCAACTCCACTATAGTAAATAGATATATTGTACGTTCCATTCCGAAAAAATATATGTGTACCATTACTTTGATTGTTATATAATTTCATAACAATGATTTACTGTTTATAATAATAATTATAAACAAGCATTGTTAAAGGGCTCTATAAAAAATAGTCTCAGAGCATATTTTGCAGATTGTATTAATATTTATCATTCATATATAATTTCTTAATAATTAATTTTTATTAATGTTTTTGTTTTTAGATTTTATTAATATTTATGCAGAGGATGGATCTCTTATTAAGTAAGACACCTCAGTCGGAGATTAAGAACCATGTACTACCAATGCTGTACCGTGCACTTGAAGCGCCCACTACTGTCATGCCTGTCTCTTATACACATCTATGTGTATAAGAGACAGATATAAAATAGGCCTATATATGTGTATAAATGTTTATAATATATATAAATCATCAAGGAGGGGTGGGTGAAATGTTCGAGTGGGGGTGATGGTGCATCGTGTAGCATCGCTGTCATTCGTTGAGAGCGACGCTGCACGATTATCATCGTGTCCTTTGTTCGAGCACAGTGTCGCCCGTTTTGAACGGACGTGCATGAAATTTTGTACACATAAACCAGAGGGGATTTAACAAACGTTCAATTACCTTTTTAAAGTTGGAACCCAGGGTTCCCCCTACACCAACAAAACAACGAAAACAGCAATTGGACGGTACATTATTGTCATTACCACTAATAAGGCACGTCGTATGAATGGCGCGGTTGGTTAAGGCTGTGTTTCTGAAGGACTTAAGGTCGTGAGTTGGAAACGTGTCTTGGTACTTACTTTTAAATTTTAAGAACTTTTTTTCCCAATTCTTAGTATTTTAATTTTGTACAAAATATGCTTCAAAATAATCAATGGCGCGGTTGGTTAAGCATGTGTTGTAAAGTACTTAAGGTCGTGAGTTCGAATAGTGTATAGGTATTCAATATTTTTTTTCCAATTTTAAGAATTTATTTTTGTAAATTGTATGCATCTTAATTTTTAATTCCAAAAAAAAATTTTTTATTCTACAAATAAACATTCAATTTATTTAAAAATTTCTATCTTATTCCAATTACCAATTATTCCTGTACCGTATTTAAACTATAATATTTATTTAGACAAACTCACGTCATAATAGCATTCGTAGTGGTCTTCATCTCGCTAGATAATTTGGAGGTGGTGGTTTCGATTCCCACACGAACCATTTTTCTGGTAGTTGCGCCAAAGATCGTATAGCGCCGCTATGCGGTCTTTGGTTGCGCCCTCAATTATGTCAATTCTAGTTTACCGTCGTCGTGGAAGTTTAGTCGCTCGCTTGTTCACCTGAAAGCGTTGTTTCGCTGTTCAGTGATATTTGGCCTAGGTTTTCGGGTAATTTTGTTCCTCAGGCTTAAATTTATTCTCCAAAATCAGTACATAAATTTACTTTGATATGGCAGGTTAGTATATTTTTCATTAAATCCCATTTTTGTGAATGAAAAAGCTTTACAGGTATGAGTATGCCTAGCTAGGGGCTGTGCTAGGCTAGCTGGTATAAGCCTAGGCCTATGCCACTAGGCCTAGATTAGAGTAGAGGGCCAGGCCACGTCGAAAGTCAATTGGGTCAGTTTAGCCGAGTCTGTGAAGTCATATTCCTTTATCATATGTATTTAAATCGATTAATAGATCATTGAATCATTTTAGTAATGAACTAGAAATAAGCCTATTTGTGTTCTTTTCACTTCACTTATGTCATGACCACAACGTACTGTACAAACGAGGCTGTTTCTTCCACATGCTCTATGTATAATATCACTTTTATTTGAAAAGTTAACACAATGATTTAATAATTTATTTAATGATTATTAAAACAACATACTATTGTAGGAAATTAAATTATGTTTAATAAAAACAAAGTTATAATTCAATCAGTGCCGTTTATGCTTGAGCACCTCAGCTTGGGCCGACACTAATTTCGATCGATTGAACGATGTAAGTTTATTAAAGTATGACTGCGCATGCGTTATTTATTTCACGTATATATCGTTTACTAATTTGTGTACGGTCACTAAGAAGTGTAATTCTAAGCCTATGTTCTCACACGGCAGCTAACGGGGATCCTGCTAACCGTTAGCTGCCGTGCGTCCACACGAAAAAATCCTGATCCGGATACCAAGAATATGATGATCGAATCACTGGCCAATAAGAAAGGTGCTCAACTTGCTAACCGATAGCGCTGGCTAACCGTTAGCCGTATCTGGATACCGCTAACGGTTAGCAATAACCGATCGGGCGTTCTCACACAAGTGCTAACGGTTAGCGCTAACAGTTAGCTCCCGATCCAAATACTAGTGCTCTCGTGGGAACCAGGCTAATATCATTTTTTTCATAGACAATTGAAACATTCAGGTGTTGATAACCATGCGTTATTGCTGTTTTATAATCAAGTCATTAGACCTGTACTACCCTGTAGAATATGCAGTGCTGGTACAGTATAGACCCCTTTCAGTGTTTACATTGGCCTATCTGAAACACTGGCTACATTCTACCCTGGAGGCAAAAAATTGTTGGGGTATAGGAGAAATGCATGGGAAATCTGGATACTCGTTATCTTGTTTTTTCATTGTGCCAAAAATACCTACATAAATGAAATTCATATAATATGTCATAGTTACATATATTAGGAATCGACGAAAAAAAAAAATTATGAAATTATATTTTTTTCTATTGGCCTCTCTGAAATGCTGGCTGCACCCTACTCTGGAGGAAAAAAATTCTTGGGGTATATGAGAAATGCATGGGAAATCAGGGTACTTGTTATCTTTTTTTTTTTTTTTTTGTGCTAAAAATACAAAAGCTACATGAATGAAATTCACACGTGTCATATAATTACATACAGTATATTAGGAATTTAGGAAATTATATTTTTTCTATTTAAATTTTCAATTTTTAAAGTCATTTTCGTGTGTGAGGACCTGGTCTGACAAAAGTAATGTAATTTACATAGTAGTTGCGTGTTATACCAACCAATGTAAGCTAACATAACATAAATTTTAAATTTTTAGACTTAAATCAAACCATACATGATACAAAATGAATTTAGAAGTTGAAAAAAATATATACCTAATAGAATTAAAATAATTTAAATACCTAATGTACTGTTTAACTAAAATGTCTAAACTAATATAATAAGTGTTGATATAAATAATACAGTGCATCTTTATAAAGTGTGCTAGGTTATGTTTGTACACATTGAATTGCAGATGACTAGGTACAGTAGTTCTAAGCGAGTGGAGGTTATGACTTGATTTACTTGGCAAAATGTCTGGTATTTCTATTATATTAAATTTTACATTATTGTGTTGATTTTGCTTGGAACTTCAGATGATGTAACACTGGCGTTTAAGCTGTACATCCTTATGGTGTTGACCATCAATGGGACTGGATACATTCTTCTCGTACGATACACACGATCTCGTGAAGGTCCTATGTACTACTCCACCACTACTGTCATGCTCACCGAGATCTCCAAGCTCTTGATTTCCTTAATGATCCTCATTAAAGAACATAGGAGCATCCGTGGGATGATAAGCGATGTGTACATGAATGTTATCTGTAAGCCCTCAGACTCTTTTAAGATGTGCATACCTTCTGTCATTTATGCCATTCAAAATAACCTAGCATTCTTCGCACTCTCAAACTTGGATGCTGCCACGTATCAGGTAAAGTTAACATTCTGTCACTGTGTTTGTATAGAAAAAGAATATTTATTTCATGGTTTATATTTTTGATACGATGCATTTCAATTCACATTTGAAGTCTGACTGCCAGCTTCCTTTAGTTGGTGATAAAATATTTCCTACTGGAAATTGGCTAATACATTTATTATTATTATTATTATTATCTGTGCTGATGTGTTTTTGTAGAATGATTGTGGCCAACATGTCATTCAGATGTTGTTAGTACTTTTTCAATTTTACTTTTACTTTATTTCACTGATGATAACCGCAAAATGGTTCATTCAGTGTTGGAGGCTCAAATGCAAGTCAGCAAATACCCTGGCTTTGTTTCCTTTTTTTTGGAATTTATTTCCAATTTTTTTCTAAATTCCTAAAGCAAAAAAAAAAAAAAAAAGAAATCCATGTTCTAAGGGACACATAAAAGCACACAGAAAACAAAGACAAAAGACAACAGTTGACCAAAAGAGTTGCAATACAGTCAACTGGGGTTCATGGCATTAGTTTTGAGAAACATTTTTAAAAAAAATGTAAAGATGCCTTGTCCCATACGGTAAAAACCCCCAAAAAACCAAACAAATCACTTCCGAAATCAACTGGCCCCTCCCAAAGCAACACAAAACCATCTTCCCAAACACAGAAACCTGTGTGCTCAAAAAATGTCCACCCACAATTTTACAGCAAAAAATGATGGGAACACCTCCAGTCATGGAAGTGTACTCTTCAATTTTATTTTAATTATCGAGTTTAAATGTCAGGGTACAGTACAAACTCTCCAAACCCACCAACCCGTATGCCTTGGCTTTGCTTCTGCCCAACACCATCAGGCATTATCAGCAACAAATAATTTATAATTTAGGCACATACTCTTCTAATTAAAGTTAATAGTTTTAGAAGTTTAATAATAATACAAATATGGTTTTAAAAAAATATATATATATATATTTTTTTTAATATAATAATTTTTAACAATTCTAATGCAATTATTTGAATGTTTTGATATTTTGATATGTATTTTTCAACCTGACCTGTTTTCCTATGTTGTCTTTATTTGTTGATTGTAAACAAACGTTTTAAGCCTTTGTCTGCTGTTTTGTTTTATGTTTTATACCTTAATACCTTAATAAATACAGTATGCTTATGTCGTTGAGCAGAGGAATGCAAAGCCTGACAGTGTGGGTGCCCATCTTTATGTATGTTGCCTGGACACTACATTTTTATTGATGTTAAAAAAAATGTTTGATTCTGTTTTTTGACAGGTTACATACCAACTGAAAGTATTGACGACAGCTATGTTCATGGTACTGATGATAGGCAAACCCATCAGCCGGACGCAGTGGACTGCTCTATTAATTTTATTTACGGGCATTGCACTTGTTCAACTTGATTCTGCCAATGTTAAGCAAGATTCTCATTACAATTACACTTATGGCTTAGTTGCTATTATATTATCTTGTTTATGCTCAGGATTTGCAGGTATGCACAAAGTTTTTTTTGTTACAGTAAATATTTTTGTATGGTGGACTATATTATGCATTCAATCAATTATCCATGCACCTTGGAACCGGGCCTAGTGGGGAATTAGCTTGGAATGTGACTTTTCAAAATTTTTAATGTGCATGTGCAACTTCCAGCCACCATCAGCAATGCGGGCATCATTCAACATATTTCTCTAGTTTTTAAGTGAAATTTTATTGTAAAGTAATGCCTCAATTCAACCTTTTGGCTGCCACAGAATTTGTATTTGATTGATTGTGTTTTTAAAATAAAGATACTGATATACAGTACATAGTGTAAGGCGGGACAATTTTGCAGTACAAACACCTAAAACTCAGGATACTCTGTCGTTTAAGATTCACAGCCCTATTTAGTCCGCTAACATCCCAGAGTCATTCCTACAGTGTAGATACATCTTGGCACTAAGGTGTTTGCACTAAAATCTACAGGATGCTTAATGTAAGATGTGAGATGGTTCCAGTTTTAATTTGTCTTTAGTTGATTGTTTTTGTTTAATAATGCACACAAATAAGAAGCAATGCATGCTTGAGGGGCTCTGTATAAACCATTAATGTGTTTCATTATTATATTAATATTCTATCATTTGCAATAGTAATTGATTAATTAATTAATTAATTATATTCATCAGTAAATAATGAATATAATACCATTAATGTATTGTATTACTTAATGAACATACTGTTCTTTTGTTTCAGGTGTTTATTTTGAGAAAGTGTTGAAAGGCTCTGACACATCGCTATGGATACGCAATGTTCAGATGTATTTGTTTGGTATCATAAGTGCTTTTATTGGTGTTGTTACCAAAGATGGCAATAATATCATGGAACATGGATTTCTATATGGTTATAACTTTTCTATTTATTGCATCATAGGTAAGTCTTTTTGTTTTTATTTAATTCATTATTTAAAAAACTATTCAAATAATTCTCTTAAATAGATATATCTAGTTGAATGTTGATTTGATGTATCCAGACTTTATAATCACTCTGGTCATAATGCTTAATCAAATCAAACCCTATTGCTATTTTAGAAAATTTTCTTAGGTAAACAATTATATAATTATTCATTATTTAATAATGTCTCTAATATATGCCAAATTTTGAGCAGCTTTAATTTGGATATGGTGGAAACCATTGTTGTGTGTGCGCTGAGCAGTTAAGATCTTGGTCCCCAGCTCAATTCCTTTTGTTGCTCTCCTTGTGTTGCCTCGCGATGTACTGCCCAATTCAACACTAGAAGGGCCCCACTGGACATTGGATCATTCTTTGTGTGTTTCACTCCAAAAAATCTAAAAAGGAACAATGAACAAATATTTAAAAAAACATCTATGACTGATGCATAATGTCTCTAATTTGTGTTTTCAGGAAAATATAACTTAATTGAATTATTGTGATTACTTTTCATTTACAATCTTACAATAATCTATGTACTTTATTTGAATATATCATACCAAATCTGACAAACAGTTCTCATGTGAAAAGAACTGTTTTATTAATATATTATTCATATTGAAGAAATTATTTAATTAAATAAAAACTCAACCTTTAACCATTAACCATCTACCATTAACCATTAACACTTAACTTTGTTTTGCATTTGGTAGGTATGGCAAGTATAGGAGGCTTGTATACATCAGTAGTAGTAAAGTACACAGACAACATCATAAAGGGGTTCTCAACGGCAGTATCTATCGTTGCATCTGTAATCTGTTCCTATTTTATGTTTGGATCATCTTTTGGACAGTATTTCCTGGTTGGTGCAGGTTTAGTGATGTTAGCAATATATCTGTATAGTCTACCGAAGCCAGCTCCTAAAGCTGCTCCTGTCACACAGAACGTTTAAGGTCAGAGGTTAGGTAGCGTCTTATTGGGAACATCTGCATATTTTTAGTACTCACTGATATGTGGCAAAGGCCAGCCAAACCAGTCACTCGTCGCAAATCCGGTTTCGGATATAATGGGCAAAACATGCTAGAATGTCAAAATTTTTGAAATCTCTTTTATTGCACTGAACTAAACTTTTATATATCTATATATCATGCTATGCTGTTATTTTCCTCATTTTCAATGTTAAAACAATAATTTTTAACGATTTGGTGATGGTTTCTCCCTTTCAAATGCCCAAAATCATAAACTTTGAAAGCTGATTTCTGATGTACTATTCTTTAAACAGCTGTATGTTTAAACTCCTCTAACTTCATAATGAAAAGTCAGATTTTAATGATTCTTTTACCATTTTATAGCTCTCATTTTACTGTTTAACCATGTAATAATAACTAAAAATTGATTTTTGCGATGAGTGACTGGTTTGGCTTGTCTTTGCCACATATATGGAAATTCCTTTGTATAAATATTCACATAGAGTGTGCTTTTGGTATCCACCAATTTTGTTGACATCATAGAGGTATTATTACATTTAGAGTGCTAACTAGGTGACAAAGGCAATTAAGGCAAGGCAGCTATAGACAGTATCGATATAGGAAATTTAGTAAGCCGCGCCCATTTCAAAATTTTATTCCATTCCATAGCCGCAGTTGACAATGTACCGAGATAGTCCTTTCCTGGACATTGTGTACATTAAGCAGAAGCAGATTTTTTGAATCGGTACTCTCTCAGCTACAAGATACCTGTAGCTGCCATAAGAAAAATACCACCTTCAAGGCAGCAACAGATTACGGTACAACCATAATTTAAAGTAATTATTGTATAATTAACCATAAATGCAGTTCGCACTCCAATTTGAGACCACCTTTGGACCGGAAAATTTAGGGTGGTCTCAGGTTTGATGTCCACATAGAGGGTTAGCTTAGTGTTAATAGATTGAGAACTCTTATTTGGTTCTTTAAAAAAGTGGTCTCGAATTATAAGGGTATCGATTTGAAGGGTGCACTGTATTTAATATTAATAAGTTATGCTAGCCTTCACTGTTGTGAATAAAGTGCAGAGGAATGCACAGTACACTAGTACACAATCAAAGTCATGTTTGCTGCACTGTGATGCTCAAGTTAGCATATGGGAACTTAGCTAGCTGTATTTGAAACTGCCATATGAATTGAGGGTGTCATTGAAAATGATGCTTAGTCAGATTTTAATTAGCTGAATCTACAAGATAAAAGATACAAGATAAAATTTATTGTCTCCAGTTAAAATAAGCAAAGGAATTACAAAGCTTGCAAAAAGAACAATTCCAAAAAAAATCACATTAAAATGGATCATTAAAAAAAAAAGAATCAACATCAAAATTCCATCAAAAAGCACAGACAAATTTAAAATTATAGAAGGCCTACAATATTTAAAGATTGTTGTTGAGTACCGATACACAGCATTGCATTATTGGAACATGCATTGGAGTTAGTGCTCTAGTAACATCTCTTAAGTTATGTACACACATGAAAAATATAGGCATCGCATATTTTTGTCACTTAAAATTTAATATTGTGGACAGAGCATGAAGCTGATGTTGATGTTCTGATAAGTTATTTGTATGTTATCAGGTTTAGCGGCTCCAAATGATCAGCACTGGCTGGATGGACCACCCAAATTTAATTGTTTAATTACAACTGATTAATAATGTAATTTATAGAGCTTATTAATTTTTTGATGAAATAGTATAAGGACAGTGGGGGCAGCAAACCCTTGTACTGTTCTAAAAATATTATAAATTATTAAATCTTTTTTTAGGCAAGTCGAAAGGCCGAGCAGTTAGGGCAGGGGCCCGTAACCTACACCCATAATATCGGTTTGAACGGCACGCTCGCCTATGTGTCTGGAGGTGGAGCAAGTCTTCTCGGATAAGGTCTATAAACCGTAGGACCAGTGTACACAATGGCTTATGTGCACTATAAAAACCCAGTACATCTTTCGAGGCGAGTAGGGGGTTACCCCAGTGTAATGGTTCATCTCAAGCCCCTGCCCGCCTCCAGATGCTGAATAGGCGTTGATGAGTATCTACGTAGATTTAGATTTAGATTGAAACACTGCATCATACGGCAGATCCAACTACATTAGCGCTAGGCGCGCGGCACTGTATGCTGATTGCCAGTGACAGTTTAAACGGACCGTAGTTAAAAACGATCCGTTGCGCACACGTCCTAGCATTGTGTTCTTTATAGTATTGCATCGGCTGATGACAATCAGGAGCAGTGAGAGCCCTGCTTTAGTGTTTCAAATCATAAGCTTGAAGTAATAACTTACATGTTTGTGAGATTTGTTTTTCAATATATATTTAATGATAAATACTTAGTTTTACTGCTATTCCTCCTAGTGGTTTGTATTTGTTATACTTGATATTTTTTTTTTTTAATTTTGTCGAGTTTCAAGAAAAAAGTCCTCAGTCAACTGGTGGTAGTGATAACATCTTGTGAATAGAGTATTTAATAGTATAATTATCATGCATTAAATACAGGTTGTGGGTTAAAAATTGTGGTTAATTGTATTTACAGTGAACAAATTTGAATTGATATTAAGCATAGTTCACAATGTTGAATTTTCTTTGACAAAAAGCAGTTGTATGCCCATATATAGTCGTACACTTCGTTATTACAGAATTTGCACGCGGAAATCTCGGAGAACGCTATCTTGTGTTTATAAGATCTTTGTATGTCAAGCAGTAGACAAGCTATTTTTAGGTTGTGATTTTACCTCTGGTTATCCATTTAATTACTTGAAAGTATTAGCCAATCAGCTGACATTATTTATAATTAGTCAGTAAAATCCAATCAGTATTCATTAATATTTAATAATTTATATAGGATTATATTTTGTAGCAATAATCTGTGGTGGAAGTCAGAATGAAAATTATACACTATTTTAAAAATAATATGCTCATACTGTTATAAATATTAATTTTTAAATTAAATATTTTTTCCATGGATAAAAATCCTTGTCCAATGCCAAGGCCTCCACACTCACTCACAGCAGTCGAAAAGCTTGTGTTTACAAAAGAGTATTATATCAACAAATTTGTTTTTCCACCAAAATCTCAGGGGTGGGAGGGGAGGTCTGGACCTTGCCGACCCCTCCCTTCTGGATACTCCCCAGAAACAGAAATGCAGCTGTGTTTGAAATTAAATTTTAATTTTAATGACTTGTTTTAAGATTTTTTAGTATTAAAAACCACAATTCGCCACAAAAGTACAACATCAAAGCTATTTAGTTATTCAAAGGCTCCTAATTATTAACAGTAAGATGGTAATCATACGGTTGTAAGTTCAGAAAAATAATTGAACCACAATAAATTGGTCTAAAAGGCAGCCTGCTGACCCTTTGACTTGGCCGACATCCCCAGCCCCCCCCCCCAATTACTTTCCGACTTGGGAAAATTGTGGTTCTGCAAACACTCCATAAACCATGGCCACGATAGATTGTTTAGGATAGAATACCATGCTTGGTTTTTTACAAATTTTGATATAATATTAACATTGTTTGCTTTGTTAACAGCAGTATTAGATACAAATATCACCATCAACCATGTTAAATGAACCTCTTTGTATTTAAAAGGTAAAGTTGATCCATGTTTGATTGTCAATATTTGCCAACTGAGGCAGCTGTGTCGCCATCTGTGCTCTCTTTTACATTGAGTTTTTTTTTGACTTGCAAATTGTGATTTGAGGTCCGACTCTATGTCAAAGATCTTATAAACACAAACACAAGATAGCAATCTCCGCGATTTACGCGTAACAAATAGAATCGTCGATTTGGCACAGAAAAGTAATCAGTTTCGGGAGAGTTATTGTTTCTTTTAAATTGCAAATACTACTGACACAGCCATCATACCAAGTAGTTGCTCATACCATTGCATTGTGTGATGGCTATCAGTCAAGATTCTTGCACACAAATACTGTACTGTGAACACAACATATATGATTAATAAACATTCCAACAAAACGTACTGCATTTTGTTATCTTGTTTTAAAATTAACTCTTGTTAGTGCCATTCATCCAGTGTGTGTATGTGAATAGAATTTTCGATACCATACGTTCGTCAGCAGGTTCTGCGCCCTACGGAACTTGAAAACGCTCGTCAGTTGTATGAGAGATAGTACCTGGGGGTTAGATCTGTGCATATACCGTAATGCCCGGGTTTTTAACCTTTTCCAGTTGGGGCCAGCTCTAAACTGTTAAGACCAGCGGCGGGCCGACATAAATTGTGTACTTTCCATTTTTTTTGGTTTCCGTTAGCCCCACCCATTTTCTTTTATAGTGGTGGGTTCGAAATAGAATGGGCAAAGGAAGAAAATGTAGGCCTACCACCTCGGCCCCACTATGGTTGGGGCTGAGGTAAAAAAAATATGATTATGGCACCTCAAGATGGTCGGAAATGGCACTCTCAGACTTTAATACTGTATAAGTTTTTTTTCTTCTCTATTTCCTTTTCTTCTCTATTAAATTAAAAAAAAAAAACTCTTGCACTCGGGGTTCTCCTATCCTGCCACTAGAAATGATATTGATAATAATAATAATAACAATAATAACGACAATAATAATAATAGATTCATGGAAATGGCACTTTTATAAATTGGTTTTCAAAGCAGTGTTTTCAACAGAATACGTGCCCCCGAGCTGGCACCGCAAATGATAGACATCGCATCATGTCAGCCCCCGATTTAATCCATTAGTCTATCTCCCATGTCAATACCCCACACCCCTAGATACAGTGAGCTACACTCAGAAAAAGTCACTCTCTTGTAAACAGTGCTAGAGTAGGGGTGCCTAGTGGTGTTTCTGTAAACAGAAAAACGTTTTCTAAAAATGGGCCGGAAAATGATTTATTTTTAGCAATGTTACGCGGGTCGGATTTTGAAACTGGACGTGGAGAGAATTCTGATCCAGGCAAGTAATCATATACTATAAGCTAAATCTATCTAGTTTGCTGTATAGATGAGCACTATATATATATAGGGATATATGCAACGCTGAAATTAATATAAGTTTATACTCTCATTTATGTTCTTTGCTTATATTCTAAATATATAGACAAAGATTATATATATATATATATAAGTAAACAAATTATTCAAAAACCGAGTGGCCGTGTGTCAACTGATCTTTGTTTAATCGTATATTTTTACAGAGACTGCTGGTCTGTGTTAGACACTTATTGACTGATTACGACGACCTTTGGAATGCGGTCAGTAAGAGCTCAAATGAAGTAAAATTTCACAATTCTATAAACCATGCATTGTCCACACATTATGAACTTTGTTCGTATCTGTAGGGCCTATATCTGTAGGGATAGGCTCGCGTTTTAATGCTGTGTTAGACTGGGCTGAGACTGAGCCATTGGCCTTCCAGACAGTACTTCTAGGCCTACAGTAACTACTAAGTTTAAACAATGACGTATGACAGGAACATAGAATTATTTTTTAGTGTGAAAACCAAAGATAACCCACTGGTCTAGTCTAGTCGTGGTCTAGTGCGAAGTCCATTGTGAGGTCCATTTGGTGGTGAATTAGCTGTACACGGAGAGACAATCATCAACCATTTTCCGAAAGTTCATGCGGTGTTCTTTAAAGTAAATGTGCACATGTAATATTGCAAACGGGACCGATGAACTAAACATCTAAATCAGAAGACTGCAACTTATTTTAGCCTTCTAAATCTGTAGTGATTGAAATCGAACCTGGAACGCCACCGAGTTTAGTGCACATAACTGTGGCTACCACCATTTTGGTCGACTGAGCTACTGTTCAACAATTAAGAGTGACGAAAGTAACCGTAAGTCCTCTATGCATTTCGCCAGGATTTGCAAGACGGGAGGGGTCCCCGACGAGGGGGGGGGGGGGAGAGAGTGGGAGATTCCCCAGACTAGGGGTCAGATTTCCCCGACGAAAGCAAAGTAGGCGTGGTTGAGCTCCGATTAAAAGGAAACGAAAGTGGTCCAGGGGCGAAAATTATGGCAATTTAGGGGTTTCAGAGGTTTATTTAATCGATTTTAGAGTCTACCGATATGTAGAAAATACATATAATTTTTTTCTCCCCTACGGATTGTGCTTTTTCTCCCCGACGGTGGGGGGGGGGGGCAGCTCTTCCTAACGGGGCCCTCCCCCGGCCACCCGCTGGCGCCACCCCTGCAGGGCTACCAATAAAATTGCACAGACTACACGCCTAAACATGACGTGAGGGGGTAGCTGCAAACACTCGGTTAACTATTTTCGTGTTTCTTTTTTAATGGGAAGAGGAGAGAGGAGAGCAAAATTTATGTAGTGGCCAAAAATTATGTGATGAATAGACCAAATTAAAATTACATAACAAAGATATTATAAGCTAGTAGTAGTGTAAGTTCATTAATGTTGAAATAATTGACTTTATTAATTTATAAATGTAATTGTTGATGTATTCAGTACACAATGATGACGAAAGCTAGATGGCGGCATGTGAAACAGTTTGGAATAGTCCTATGCGTGTGTGTTCCGTTATATATACTTCTATCACGTCAACGAGTTTACACAAAAACATGCAAAAGATTGTGCAACAAGTAAGTCAATGTTTTATTTATAATATTTACCAGAGTTAGACGTGTATTCCTTTGAATACTATACATACATACATACATGCATAAATATATATACATTATGCTTTACATACTGTATATATAATAAAATGTATAAATAAATATAATAAAATAGTTTTATATATATAGTTATATATGTAATAGTATATATA